AATTCAAAAGGAAACTGAACGATGGGATGTACAGTATTGTATAAATGGCTGCAGTTACCAGATAGTGTTGGACTAACATAGAATTAAACTAAAATTAAATGATAAGATGAAAGCAGGAGGGTAATCAAACTGTGAAAAAGCAAAAAGTTGATCTGTTATTGTAATATGAATTGATTGGATGATGGTATACTCTGTGTTCTCCTATCCCCCTAACCTTTTCCCCCCCCCATTCCCCACTACCTTTTGTATTCCCTACCCTGTCCTTAAATAAATACTTAAATAATGAAGAAGAAGAAAGAATACAGGACAAAACTAATTCAATCTAACAATGAATCATAATTCCTTTGTGTTTGTCAGAGCTACTTCTCAAGAAATCTCTCTCCGCCTTTTTTTGCCACTGATATAATAATACGACACCTTCATTGCTTTCCGAGTATTTATTTATTTATTGCCTTCTCCAAACACCTCACAAATACCTTTGGAAGATACCTTTCTTCCAAAGCTGTTCTGCTTCTGGTCTTTTACTTTGCAAAAAATTTGAGGACAAGCCCACAACTTTGCCCTGTAATAACTATTGTTCCTCCCTATTTTCTGATCCCTGTTCACCGGGTCAAGTTGCAAAGTGAAGAGCCACTTGGTTCACATGGACACAACTGAGAGGATGAGCCACGTAGCCATGAGGAAACTTATTCCAGGAAACCTTCAGTCTGTCATGCCAGCTAAACACCACAGCCACATTTACTTATAGGGAAAGCACCTGGCAGTTTCTTTGTGCCCACAACATTAAAATATTCATCCTGTGGTTCTCCTTTAGACTAAAAAAAGGACTTACTTGAGCTCAGGATAGACATTCTCCAAGTACCACTGGAAGGATTTGCAATTCATCTTCCTCCGCTGTTCCACTCGGTCTACAATACTGGAAGTAGAAGGAATTTGTTTTCATCTTTGTTGCAAACATAGAGGAAAGATATTTGCTATATGTCCCTATAAAGTATACTTGTAAAATTATTAAATGCATATAAAGTCTGTAACTGTTAAATTACTTTGGAGGATCTGCAGTGGGAACTACATTTGTACTTTCCAACCAAATATGCACTTCAAAACATTTGTTATTTCAAAATATCATCGTTATCACAGAACTACAGAGCTGAAAGGAACCCTTATGGATCGAGTCCAGCCCCTTTCAAGGAGACACAGTGGAGAACCGGACTCCTGACTTCCGACTCCACTGCCAGATATTTAAACCACCGAGCAATCCAGCAGTTTATACAGTCTTCGAAATGTATTTTCTATTTTTTTTTTTAAAAAAATCTTTTTTTAAAAAAATTGAAAGCCTTTTGATATTTTAAGAAACTGTCCAAGAACTGGGAGAAAGGCAACCACATTCCATTCTGCATATTTGTTCAGCAGGTGCAAACCTGGTCAGATCCTATCCAGAGATGGGGACAAAGTGCGAAAATGGGGCTTCGTATTGGTTTGTGGGTCATCAAGTTTGACAAACCACAAATTGCCCCCTAGTGGCCTGACGAACTATGAAACAATTTGTCGGGTCATTTTTTTAAACGACAGCCCCTGGGGCTAACTAAACAACAACAACAAAAAGCCCTGGCCGGCACAGCTTTGCAAAGACAGCAGGGCTGGGGCATTGCTTAGATCAGACTACTCTCCTCTTCCTCTTCCTGCGGGGGCATAGGAAGAGGAGCGAAGGGGGACCCAAGCAATCTCCCACCCTTGCTATATTTGCAAAAGCAGCAGGGCTGGGGGCTTGCTTTGATCCCGCTTTGATTCCTTCCCTCCTCTTCCTATGCCACACAGGCATAGGCAGAGGAGGAAAGAGGAACCCGGGGGTGGGATTCCCTTCGAGCAGGCTTTAGCAAGCTGCCCAAAGGGAAAATCTCTCTCTGCTTATGCCTCCCGAGGAACAGCTGATCTGCGGGGGCATAAGCAGATAGGGAACGAGGAGATAAATCCAAAGGGTTATATTCATTGCTTTATATTCGTCAGGGTCCTTGGACCCCAATAATACGAAGCAACGAATATCTGACGAATCAGGGATATTCACTGAATATCCTGATTCATTTTTATATTTGTCCCCATATTTTAAAAACCTCTCTGTCTCCACCAGAGCAACTTAAATTAGACAATTTACCACAATGCCCATTTGTCTGCTTTGGGATTCTTACCTTCCAAATGCCTTTCCAATGGCAGATGGCCGGGCCTCATAGTAATACTGTTTGTACTCATCCATCCATACTTCGGCTGTACGTTTGGTGTTTCTGCAGGTGGAAAAGGCACTCTTAAGAGACTGTTATTTTCTAGCTCAGCATGTCATGACTTGAAATTACAACAAAGGTGGACAAATTTATCAGGTCCAGGGATCAACTATGGTATTTAGGGATCCACTGTAGGCCCTCACTGTTGAATTTTGGGGACAAACTATGAAAGAAAAAAAACAGTGAAAATCAGTGGATCTCAGTCTTTTGGCTCTTCAGATATTTTGGAGTTTTTTTTGGGGGAGGGCCTGTTTTATACCTGTTGCGCAAAATACAGTTATCATTTAGTGTGAAAAATGCAGTTATCATTTAGTGTGCAAAGATTAAATGAACATCTCTGAAGTGTTCCATGTTTCTCATGCATCTGACTGATACCACAGAATCATAGAATAATGGAGTTAGGAGGCGCCTATAAGGCCATTGAGTTCAACCCCCTGCTCAGTGCAGGAATTCAAGCAAATCGAGAGATGGCTGTTCAATTTTCTCTTGAATGCCTTCACACTGTAATATTGCAGCATTCCTTTTTTTTTAAATCTAACCCCCAACACCATTTCATGTGATAATCTCACATGTTAAAAAATGAAAATGAACACAGATAGATTGGATAAAGTTGTGTTACTGTGAGAACACATATGAATTTGCAATGGTGTAACAAGTACCCCTGTTCTTCTGTAGCCAACAGTGAAGTCCTGGAGCTGCCAACCATTTGTCCCTGATAATTCTTGCTCTCAACTGCTAAAGTTTCTTGGCATATCACCAGAGGATTCTTTGAGTTATAACCACAGAAACAGATTTTTTTTCCAAGTTCTGGAAAATGCCTCAGGTTGTCCCCACTCTCCTTTCTTGGTCCTCAGCTACATTGTAATGCATGCCGCCACCCCCTCCTGTTTCCTGAACAGGGGTCCAGAAAAGATCCACTCCTACTTAATATAGGTCAGTGCATTGCCCTCAGGGAAGTCGTATGGATGTCGTTTCCTGAACACATGGCCCACTCGGCTGCACGGAACAATCTCCAAGCTACCTCCGCACATCCAGACTCGGAAAGAAAGTTCTAAAAAAAAATCAAAAACAAGAGAAAAATTAGATGAAACAATGGTCACCACGGATTTCATGTCTTAGAGCCTGTTCAGATTGGTATATAGATCAGTGTTTGGATCACTGTTGATATGGTTTGGTTTGAACCAAATTGTGTTGTCCACACCTGCCTCTACTTAGATTGACCCATCCTGCCTCTTTAAGAGCTGTTCAACTCCTTTATGGTACAGGGCTAGGGACTTTCTGATTTTTTGGCATGATTCAGCATGGACCTAATTATCCTGTTGTGTAGCCTGTGTGACCAAATGCAGTGGTCCAAACTAATACATTAGAGGGGACAGATCTGTGATATATGAGTTGTAACATTAAAAGGGAGGACAGAGAAATCTCCTCCTCTATTTTCATCATCTTTTTTTTAAAAAAATGGTTTCCTAACTGATACAGCTTAATTCTAATACCATATTAGGTTGTTGCATTGCTCTTTCAATATACCATTCACCACTGTGGCCGGCTGAATGATGGCTGCGACAAAAGGCGGGGAAGGGGGCTATGCCATGTCCATGGGATCCAGCTCCACAAGGCAATGTAGTCCCAGCAAAGCCCCAGTTGAGGAGAAAGGGAAAAGGGGAGATTTCCTCCCTTCCGTCTCCCCAACATTCACCCCCCCCCCAATGTTTTCCTGTTATGCCAGTACCACTGCCTTCGTCTGGACAGGCCCTTAGTTGGCCCTTAGTCTTCCGTCTCCCCAACATTCACCCCCCCCCAGTGTTTTCCCGTTATGCCAGTACCACTGCCTTCATCTGGACAGGCCCTTAGTTGGAGTGCCTTACTCTAGTCATGCCAAAGACAGGAAAGGCAAGAAAGGGAAGCCACAGGAAACAAATGCCTTTGCTCCACTGAGATTATGTTTGGGGTGGGGTGAGCCAAGGTATGGGTATGAACGTCATGACAGTGGTGAAAACAGGCAGTGGTCCTAGAAAACATGGTGGAATTCCAAGCAAATCATTTCAGCCTTGTTCATAGCTGATAATAAAGAGCTGACAGAAGATTTATGGGAGTTCTGGAAAAAATGTAATCCGCTTTAATCACTGCTTAAGGGGATGCCCGCATTGGTCAGTTTGTACAGTCTTTAAAGTCATTATCATGCTTGCAAACCATACCTATTATGGGAATGGACTTTGGAATTGAAAAATACATAATGAGTTCTAAAACCCATCTGAACATTTCTCTTTTTCTCAATATTTGAAGTCCCCTGGCTTTCAATCAATTTGCATGCTTGAGCTTTTCCTTTCTGTGTAACTTTGCTGCAGAACCCCAGACTCAACTCAGGCTTAACTTCACTCAATTTCCTAAGGCAGAGCATGACCCTGTTTATTTAAATAGAGATATTCCTTCCCCCTCCCCCTTTGCTTTCAGAGGTTCTGCTGCCCTGAAACTAATTTATTATTATTATTATTATTAAAAGGATCAGAGGACCACCAGGGCTTTGATGTTCAAAAACTCATTTGAATCACTGAAGAGAGGTGACCTTGCCAAGGCTTATAGGCCCATCCTCTTGTGTTTAGTATCTGTCACTCTGGTCAAGCTCCTCATCTGCATATTTATTTGGAGACACAAAGAAAACATCAGAAGAAGGGGTTAGAAAGAGCTTTCATAGATATTCTGTATTATGAATTGTCTTTGATGTGCTTGTCAGCTTGCCACTGAATGTTAATTTTAGATCAGCCTTCCCTAACCAACAGTCTTCCAAATATTTTAGACTACAGTTTCCATCATCCCCAACTAGCACAGCCAAAGCTTGGGAAGGATTGGAGTTGCTACCCAAAACAAGGGAGGCTTTACTAGAAGATGTGAAGAGAAGGTGGGTAGCAGAGGCAATTGTCTGGAACACACTAGATGTTGTCAGATCTCAGAATCAAATCAAGATCAGACCCAATCAGCACTGGACAGTAGATCATCAGACAATACCAGGTATCTCCAGGTAGGTCTAGATGAGAATCCTCCTTGAAAGTCTAGCAAGCCACGACTGCCTGTCAGAGATAACTATATTGGCCTAGAAGGACTGACCAGTAGTGTGACTCTGGATTAGGCAAGCTTCCTGTGCTCTTATTTCATAAAGTTAAGAAGAAAGACTGAACCAAACAACACATCACATTGGTAGAACCCCTAGGTCAAGGGTGGGGAAACCTGTAGCCTTCCTATTGGATTCCAAATCCCATTAGCTCTAGCCATCAGAGCAGGCAGTTGTTGGATGATGGAAGTTGTACTATAACTTCTAAAGAGCCACAGGTTCTCAATTCTTACCTTAGATTCTGATCTTTCCTCCAAACCCCTAGTTATTACTAGAGTTCATCTTTGGAAGCCCAGTGGATGATAACTACATCCAGGGCTTCTCCATAGTGCCAGACACTTTACAGAATTTCTGGCAGGCTTATATCAGGATTTTAGAAAGGGGGTGAAGATCTTTCTTTTCAGCAAAGCTGTTATGGTAACTACGTGTAAACCACCCAGAATGGGCATGGCAGTCAGATGGACAGTATAGAAGTCAAATAAATAAATAAAATTTGCAGAGCTTACCTGGAAAACATTTATCTGTACCTATTTGCAATCAGTGTTGATTTCCATGGTATTTAAATAATATTTGATTATTGTTCTCTCGAATTAAATTATTTACGTAAGCTGCTTTGGGAGCATGCGGACTGAAGAGTCAGATAAAAACACAAGGAATAAATAAAATAAGATTTGCTTACAACGTTCTAAAACCTTTCTTCCTTCTCCCAATGTTAGCGCCTTTTGAAGCTCTTCACACCCTGTCATTTCCCAACCTTGGCTCAATTATTTATGCTAACTCCTAGACCACTTGCCAACTTAGCTCGGCCTACTTATAAACATCCAGGAATAAATGCACCCGGTCCAAAATCCTTAACTTTTAAAAACGGATTGTTGTGCTCTACTGTTTTAAATGTGTTTTAGTATTGATTTTATTACTATAATACTTGTTTAATTCTTTTTAAATATTTGTATACCTACTATTTTTAGCTTTTAAATATTGTCTTTTTAATGATGTACGTTGCCTTGGGTTCTTTTTAAGGAGAAAAAATGGGATAAAATATTTTAAAGAAATAAGTAAATAAACTTAACCTAGCTGACTGTTTTTAAGATGTGTTCTTGTTCTGGACACCCATTCAGATAAACATGCCCATACATGTGCCTTTGCACTTCATCTTACAATATGAAGTAAAGGATTGATACATTGATAGATCTGCAGAGTGGTGCTTATCAGCTTGCTAGTAGCTACTGGACAAAGGACAGAACCTTAAGCAATGTTGCCAACCAGCCGAAAATGTCACACTCTGTGAATCTGTTATCACAGATTGCATGGCTGACTTGTGAAAAACTGGTAAGAGAAGGTAAGGCAAGGAGAAGCCAAAGCGCCAACTCACCAAAGTTCTCTCCTCCCCAGATATCCATCTGAGTGTCATATTTTCCAAGATGGTTAAACCAAGATTTATCAATTACAAAGATGCCCCCTGCTATGACAGGTGTTCTAAAGAAAATGAGAATAAGAAAAGAATATACACATAATATTAATAAATGATCCCTAAATAGAATGGAACATATTACATTTGTGGCAGCATGCCGTATCTAAAGATCTTTGCCCCCTCTCACTCCGGAATGAAGAGGCAAGACGTAGGTGATGGGGTAAACCAAGGCCATACTTTATTAACTTTAAACATATTAGTAATTGTAAAAGGCAGGGGCTGCTGTAATGCGGAACGATGGCTGCAGTGGAGGTCTCACAGGGCCCCTTCATCACGAATATGGGTGAGTCCTAGCCCCAAGGTCGCATTACCCTGAAGAGAGCGTGGCCCCGGCAAGCCATGTTCTGACCACCCCCGGGCCTATTGACAGCAGTCGGCCAATGGGGTGGTCCTAGTGCACCTTCTCCCCCCCATGCTGTAATCTCACAATCAACAGCACGGAGAATTTGGATACACTATAGCCTCCTCTATGTCCCACAAGCCATTCATTGATCCATCTTCACTCCGCACTACCTGCCTGTGTGACCTTATGTTAACACCACCTATAAACAGCCCTAGATCCTTGGCCAGTGTGGGATAGGCAAAAAAATCACCATTCCCCTCACCCAATCAGATGGCGGGTCAAACCTGGCCCCAAAAGACAACCAATAAAGCTCACACTAGCATAAAGGGTAGGTGGATTGCTAGCCTCAAAGGAGGTCGGAGTCAGGGAGGAGCTCCTGTTATAAAGGGTGCTCCTTCCCCCTCCCTTCCCAGAACACGAGGACACAAAAAACATGTCTCACACTATTCCGGGCAGGAGAGGCAAAGAAGCTCTGCCCATCGAAGTCTCACACCAGCAGAGCTCACCATTAGAAATAATAGACCTTGAAATTCCCTGCAAACCAGCAGAAACGTAGTATTTAAGGAGGTTGGAGATATTAGAAGCAAGCTACTGAATCACATATTCTCTCCCCACATATATACACCCAACACACTCCCATCTTAATGGCCGTTAAGTTTATATCAGCTCCAGAGATAACCTGATTTCTTGTTTGGAAACATCCTTCAAACATTGGTGAAGAATGTGGAATATGCAGGGAATCCCTTTGTTGTTGTTGTTTAGTTGTTTAGTGGTGTCCCACTCTTCATGACCCCATGGACCAGAGCACGCCAGGCCCTCCTGTCTTCCACTGCCTCCCAGAGTTTGGTCAAATTCATGTTGGTCGCTTCGATGACATTGTCCAACCATCTCATCCTCTGCCGTCCCCTTCTCCTCCTGCCTTCACACTTTCCCAATATCAGGGTCTTTTCCAGGGAGTCTTCTCTTCTCATGAGATGGCCAAAGTATTGGAGCCTCAACTTCAGGATCTGTCCTTCCACTGAACGCTCAGGCTGATTTCCTTAAAAATGGATAGGTATGTTCTCCTTGCAGTCCAGGGGACTCTCAAAAGCCTCCTCCAACACCACAATTCAAAAGCATAAATTCTTCGGCGGTCAGCTTTAGGCTTGTTCAAATACAGTATATGTATGCCAGTGTCACCTACAAAGCATCAATTCTTCGGTGGTCAGCTTTAGACTTGTTCAAATATACGTATGCCAGTGTCACCTATAACTATGGTAACTAGGGTAAAGGGAAGCTGTAATTCACATTACAAAGAATGGGATATGAATGCACACCAGCTGCTGCTGATTGCTTAAAGGCAGGTAAGAGTTCGTCACAGGAAGCTGCCTTAGGTTGAGTCAAACCATTGGTCCACCTAGCCCAGTATTGCCAGTTCTGGCTGGCAGCAGCTCTCCAAATAGGATTCCTTCCTACCCCTACCTGAAGATCTGTCCCCAGTTCAGGTCTGGCCCTTCTTAACTTCCAAAATTAGGCATAATCAGGTATGTTCAAGGTGGCATTGTCTTGTTTAATGTCACCTGCACTACCTATAATATTATGAAGTAAGTAAATACTAGGCCTAAGATCTTAAAGCAAAGAGCAGGTTAAATTAACTTTCCATACTACACTCTCTAATCAGAGAGGTGCTATATTTGCTGTCAGTGGGCTCTCCTGGAGAACATGGGCAGATAGAATCCACTCATGTCCTGCTTATGACCTTCACACAGGTGTCTTACTGTCCAGAGAGTGGAAAAACTGCTGGACTAGGCAGACCTTTATTCTGAGTCAGCAGGATTCTTATGTTCTTAAGACATCCCACCAGATACGTCTTTTCTTAGCACTAGAAGCCAGGCTGTGAAATGTATAAATCCATTCAGACCTCAGTCACCCAAGTGAGCCAGTACATATCCAAATGGGTGCAAGCCCAGGCTGAGATTGCAGAGGTCAAAAGACCCCAAAATCCAGACAATTTGGACATGCCCTGGAAAAAATCTTTCTCAGATTCTGAGTTCTCACAAGTGTGGTACAAGCTTTTACTCCTGTTAATCCACCACTTACAAGATCCAGCTACAATCACAAAAGAGAATATTTGTGTTAGTTGTAGCTAGATTCCATGTTCTTTATCTGCATTTTCACAAGATTTTTAATATACCAAATATGAATTACACAGTGAATATGGTGAGCATTGCAAAAAGCATAGGTTGATGACTTTGTCTAAACCTTGAGAAGTTGGATGGCACTATGCTGGAAACAAGAGGTGATGCTCCAGGTGCAGTTCATACACAAGCTTGGAAAAGTCAGCTATTCCCACTAGACAATGGTAACAATTTTTAAAATGAAGACAGTGACATTTCCCCTAACTCACAAAGGTGATAGCAGCACAATTCATTACTGTCTGAAAAACCAATACACTATGTGTTGCCTATTATATTAAAGCCAACTGCTCAAGCCAACAGATTGAGTTGCAGGTATTTGTCAGGAATATTAAAATTCTTCAGGGAACAATAGATATTGATTACCTGCAGCTCTTAAATGCACCATGCATGACCTCTGAACACTTCCCATGGCAGTGTCTACAAATGAAGCAGCTGAATCTGTCAGATGAAAGATGAAGTCTAGAAATGAGATTCAAAGAGAACGTTGCATATTGAGCTTACCTTATGGGTTGGGTAGGATCTGTTCTAGACAACTTTTGCTCTATGGGGATCTGCTCCCACTTAAAGTGAAGACTCCAATCAAACCCTGAAATGTGTACAGAAGGGAAGAAGAAAACATTGGAGAACCAATCATGAGGATGTCTGGGTAATGTAAAAGTGAGCAAAATAGGCTTCGGGTCCCCATCTAGGATACATCTGGAACAATTAACAGTGATTGACCTAGAAAAAGATATTTGGGGTTGCTCTAGGTAGCTCCATGAAAATGTCAAGTTAATTTGCCACTGCTGTGGAAAAGGGCAAATGAGGAATACTGTATTTAGAAAAAGAACAGAAATATCAGCCAGTCTGTTGAGTTCCTAATACTTTATATTTCCATCAAAAATATACTCAACAAGAAAAAGAAAATCGTAAGTATCTTGCTGCCCTTTCACAAATCTGTAATCACATTCAGAATATTGTGTATCTGATGACTGTTTCAAAGAAGATAGTAGCCCTGTTGAGGTGTAACCTTCACAAGCAGAGTCACTAAACTTTGGAGGCATCACCAATCCCCTACCCCTCCATCATCATTTTCCTCACTGAGAAAGCACTGTATCTGCAGAGGAAGATCCCAAGTCATGTGTAGGCTCTATATGTGACCAAGAACATTGAAAACCAAGGTTTGTCTTGAAAAGCTTACACTTGAGCAGGGAGCAACCCTCTGCAGACATTACATTTCATGTGCAGAAGGCAACAATGGCAGGGGAGAGGCTAAGCACCTTCCTCTAAATCTGTTGATTCTATCCATGTGAATAACAGTTGAGTGGAGCTAAAATACAGCTGAAAAGGGGGTGTGAAGGAATAACTAGAATGATCAAGAAACTAGAACAACTCTCTTATGAGGGAAAGTGTTGATGTTTGGGGGCTGTTTAACTTAGGGAAAAAAGCCTAGTAAGAAGACCAGAGTTGGAAATAATGTGTTAATGGTAAAATTGTTATTTTCACATTGAACAAGAGGTAGCCAGATTATGTATCTAGGGAATTAAGCTACGGAAGTAATGATTTTACCACCAATGCATTAAATATAACATTATTTCCAAACTGTGGGTATGACGTGATAGATATGTAAACAATTATGCACAGTATGTTGAAAATAGGAATAGAGAAGTTTTCCTCACTTTCTCATAACATTAGACCCAAAGGTCATCCACTGAAGCAGAATGGTGGGAGTTTGAGGATTGACAGGAAGAAGCACTTTTTATATGCTTTTTTGGGTCAAATTGGAATTAGTAGCACAACATGAAGTCATGACCACCAGCCTGGACAGCTTTAAAAGGCAATTAGACAAATGCATTATGAAGCTACCAAAGGAATACTAGTCATAACTGATATATGCAGTACATTCACTCCAGTACCAGAGGCAATGTGCATCTTGCTATCAGTTGCTAGGGAACACAACCAAAAAGATACTATTGCACTCATGTCTTATGTGGGGGCTTCCTACTGGGGGCGTGCTGGGAATGGAATTCTGGAGAAGACGGGATTTTGTTCTGTCCCAGCACTCAGTCTTACACTGGCAGGTCCTTAACAGAAATTAGTGTTGCTAATGAATTCTTGTCTGAAGTGTAGTAGAAGCAATTAGCTCTTCTGCCCAGGAATGGGTTGATGTCCTCAGATGGAGACTGCCTTATTTGTGAATAAGACTGTGACTATGAAGTGGGGAAAATATACTTAGATCCACTGTGGTCCAGTTTTTCAAATTAGGTTTCGGTGTAGCTGTCCAAACAACAAAAAACTGCAAGAGTCAGCAGAGGCAGAGTGTTTGAACACAGCAGGAGTTGCCTGTGACACTAGCAGGTTTAGAAGGTGCTAGTTGGCAATTTCTACCTCTTTTTCATAGCTCATTTTTTCTAAGTCACCAACAACACCTTGTTTCAGTACTGACTTGAAAGCCCCTCCCCCTTTTAAAAGAAGCATTGTTTGGAGACAGGATGCGCTCAGTCAAGGGGAATTGACAAAGCCAGAACCACCTCTTTGTCTTCAGGTCAGGTGATTCCACCCAGCAGAAAGCAGAGAAAAGCGATACCAGACAATCGGAGCACATTTAAATCACCTTGCCAGCTTAAAAGGAAAAAGACAAAGCCAGAACCACCTCTTTGTCTTCAAGGCAGGTGATTCCACCTTGCCAGCTTAAAAGGAAAAGAGAAATTCTCACTGAAAAGAGGTGACTCCACAATGGGCTTCCATGCCTTGAGCGTTATACTGTGTAGTTGCCAAGTTTTGATTTGAATTGATCTGTACCTAATCTGATGCAAATAGCAGGGTAAATGACCAATGCAGTCACTCTCTAAGTCATAAGAAAGTACTTGGAGAGGCCAGGCCTGTCTCAGCTTTGTTGCTGTATTAAGGATATACATTAAGAATATATACACTTGTGCCTGGAATTGGGGAGAAGGAGGTTTGGGAGGTGCCTTTCACTTAGTCCACAAGCTGCCCCTGATTAAGAACCTTTACAACTGCCTCTGTTCATATGACTACCAGTTTTAAAATCTTACTACAGTCTAACTCTGCTCATTGTCTTGGCTGTTAAATAACCCCGAATACATCAACACATAAAGCTAAGCAATATTTGGATAGTAGTGAAACATCTCCTGCATGTATAATCCTAAAATCCTCCTACATAACAAGCAATACGTAAACTAATAGCTATGATCTGAGAGATCCCTATAGATGCACCCTGTTCCTCAGTGATATTTTTCATGGCTCAATTAGACACCAAATCTTCCAGTGTGTGTTCCCAGAGAGCAATGCAATAATTAGTGCTTCAGCCTTCCTCTCAGGCTGTCCTATGCCTCACTGGCTGCCAAAGTTATGAGACATTAATCAGTATTCTCTCAATGGGATGACATGTATTTCTGGGAACAAAGTCGCTCTGTTTGTTGTAATTGGTTTCCCCCATCTGCATCCCATGAAATACTGTCTGATTTACAATTTTTGCAAATTGAGAAGATCCTGGGGGAAGAAATGTGGATGGTGGGATGTGCAGGCAAGTGGAGTCTGCACAAATGAATGGGAGGACAAAAAGACTAACAACAGTGTGCGCATATGTGGAATCTCCAGATTTTGGGTAAGGTGGGTAGTGTGGCATAGAGGTTGTCTGTGGGAAAAGAACGGAACAGTTGGACCTCCTGCATTTGGTGTCCACATCAGAACAAAGGGGGAGGAAAGGGAAACCTGATATGTACTTCACAGAGGAATACTGTATTTATAAAAACTATTCAGCCTCCTATCCTGGAAAAGTCCGTGTTAATCTGATGCATCTGCAAAACGCAAAGCAGGAATAGGGAAGCTGATGCTTCCATTTGGTCACAGTAACATTTGAAACATGGACAGTCATGGAAGCTTATGATACCCAAGCTACACTGTGCTCCCAACCACCCCCTAGCTATACTGGCCAGGGACAGGTGACCAAGTAGCAAGGTTGTCTCCCAACATTCTGTTTGATCAACAGTAGAAACTAGCTATACTGGCCAGGGACAGGTGACCAGCTTACCAAGTAGCAAGGTTGTCTCCCAACATTAAAAATGTAGTATATTTTCCCCCCTTGTTCAATACATTCTGAAATGTGATAAAAGTTGGGTAGCTGGCTAGATATGTCAGTGGTCTGGGTATTCGGCCGTGGAGGAAGAAGTTGACACTTTGATTCCTGGAAGAAGAGCCAGCCTGTATGGCCATGAGCAAGTTGCACAATCCCAGAGTGTCCCCAGAACGAAATGGTAAGACACTTCCAAGCACTGGATGCTTAGAAAACCCTAGAAAGGGTCATGGCAATTCAGAATTGACTTGATGGCGCATAATTATATCATTACTATAAAAGTCTGGGGGAGGGCTGTTTCATGCGGCAAGGAGGCCCTACATTTACATTTTGTAAATTGATTGTGTGTATTAGTAATCAATGCATTTCACCTTATCATACCTTTTTTATTTTCTTTTTTGCAATTTGGTGCAATGCCGAGAGACAGCAAGAGAGAGAGAGAGAGAAGCAAGGAAGAGACAGAGAGAGAACTCCAGAATGTACTCATTCACTACACCTACCTCCCCTCAAATCTGCTGATGCTGCTAAGTAGGCAAAATTGTCCAAGCTTATCACATCAATGATAGGACTCACCACCCGAGTATAATCCTGAAAGAATAGGGAAACAAGAAGGAAATTAGAATTTGCCTAGAGGGAAAGAGATTACGCTTCAGGAAATCAGAGACCATGAGATTTATGCATAAAGCAGAATAAGAAAAAAACATTGTATCCCTTTCTTATCTGCAATGTTCTTGCTGGTAGTATTAAGAAAGAATCTGAGGCAATTGCATTTTGGTTTTGTGGCAGTGATATCTTTCATGCTAAGAGGAAGAGAGAATCCTAAAATAGACTACTGCTAAATACCTCTTTGGATCACATGTACAGGGCACAGTTTAAAAGGCTCAGGTCTCTTTTGGCTCCCTATGGTTGTCCTGGAAAAGTTGTTGATGGTCTGGACTGATTATATTGGGAAATGTCATTTTCAAGGGTAAATATTTGTCTCCCCTGTTCAATTAGGAAACTTAATGGTGAAAGCCTTACAGTTTCTCATATTTTAGTAAAATATGCTTGCATAGGCAGTTAGTTATAATCATTCCAGTTAATTTTATTCAAGAGAATCCCTCTGTCTCTCCAATAGTACTTATGGCTCCTGGAAGTGTGTCCATACCATATGTGCCCAGACCTACTTTTTAGAAACAGTTGGGGCAGCCTGCATCACATCCTAAATGGCACACCTCAATCAGGGCTGTAACTCTGTGGGACTTTTTTTCCCCTCCCTACTGCAAATGGAATACTTTGTTCCTCTGGAATGTCCTTTGTCATGTTGGAAAAGATAATGAATTAGGAACAGCTATTCCTGATAAGGCTTTTGCTTGAAAGAGGAGATTAGAACAGAGTTTTGTTGTTGTTGTTTAGTCGTTAAGTCGTGTCAGATTCTTCATGACCCCATGGACCAGAGCACGCCAGGCCCTCCTGTCTTCCGCTGCTGCCCGGAGTTGGGTCAAATTCATGTTGTACCTTTGGTGACATTGTCCAACCATCTCATCCTCTGTCATCCCCTTCTCCTCTTGCCTTCACACTTTCCCAACATCCAGGTCTTTTCCAGGGAGTCTTCTCTTCTCACGAGATCGCCAAAGTATTGGAGCCTCAGCTTCAGGATCTGTCCTTCCAGTGAGCACTCAGGGTTGATTTCCTTCAGAATGGATAGGTTTGTTCTCCTTGCAGTCCAGGGGCCTCTCAAGAGTCTCCTCCAGCACCACAATTCAAAAGCATCAATTACTCGGCGATCAGCCTTCTATGGTCCATCTCTCACTTCCATACATCACTATTGGAAAAACCATAGCTTTGACTATGCGGAACTTTGTCGGCAAGGTGATGTCTCTGCTTTTTAAGATGCTGTCAAGGTTTGTCATTGCCTTCCTCTCAAGAAGCAGGCATCTTTTAATTTCGTGGCTGCTGTCACCATTTGCAGTGATCACAGAGCCCAAGAAGGTAAAATCTGTCACTGCCTCCATATTTTCCCCTTCAATTTGCCAGGAGGTGATGGCACCAGTGGCCATGATCTTAGTTTTTTTGATGTTGAGTTTCAGGCCGTTTTTTGCACTCTTCCTCTTTCACCCTCATTACAAGGTTCTTTAATTCCTCCTCACTTTCTGCCATTAGAGTGGTATCATCTGCATATCGGAGGTTGTGGATATTGCTTCCGGCAATCTTAATTCTGGCTTGGGATTCCTCCAGTCCAGCCTTACGAATGATTATTCTGCATATAAGTTAAATAAGCAGGGAGACAGTATACAGCCTTGTCATACTCCTTTCCCAATTTTGAATCAATCAGTTGTTCCATACCCAGTTCTAATTGTTGCTTCCTGTCCCACATTATAGATTTCTCAGGAGGTAGATACGGTAGTCAGGCACTCCCATTTCCTTGAGAACGTGCCATAGTTTGCTGTGGTCCACATAGTCAAAGGCTTTTGTGTAGTCAATGAAGCAGAAGTAGATGTTTTTCTGGAACTCTCTGGCTTTCTCCATAATCCAGCGCATGTTAGCAATTTGATTTCTAGTTCCTCTGCCCCTTCGAAATCCAGCTTGTACTTCTGGGAGTTCTCAGTCCACATACTGCTGAAGCCTACCTTGTAGGATTTTGAGGGGTCATGGAACTGATATTCTCTCTGCTCGTTAGGCTCTATACATGGTGGTTCTAAAAAAACTACTTATTTCACAATCCCTTGTAGGTCCCATGGAGCTTAGCAAGTCCTACCCACTCTCACCCTTTGCAATAGCTGCAGAGAAGAACATGCTGGGCCTTAAATGTATGCTGAAGCTTGTCTGAGGATTTGGGTGTTTGGCTGCATTTGCCAGAATTCTAGCTGGGGGAATTCCTGGTGAATTGTGGTAGGTGTAGTGAAAAAAAATTCCCAAAATCCCTTCCCTATATGTAATTGCATATTTCTCTGATGAATTATCTAGCAGTAATGTGGAACTGCCACTAGACAGCTGCACAGCAGTAAAAAAAGACATAAGATTTAAGTGTCTACAAAGCTGCAACCAACCAACCAATCAACTAAACAAACAAACAAACAAACAAACAAACAAACAAATAAATAAATAAAATTTGGGGGGAGGAAGAAACTTGTAGGATTTTATGGGGGGAAAGGAAGAGGAATGTTGTTTGGGTATTGAGTAAAATTCTGATGATGATAATAACGTCCTTAGGTAAAGGTAAAATTTCCCCTTGACATTTAGTCCAGTTGTGTCTGACTCTAGGGCACAGTGCTCCAAGCCATACAGCCAGTGTTTGTCTGTAGACCATTTATGTGGTCACGAGTGCAACTAACAAACAAACAAACAAATAAATAAATAAAATTTGGGGGGAGGAAGAAACTTGTAGGATTTTATGGGGGGAAAGGAAGAGGAATGTTGTTTGGGTATTGAGTAAAATACATGACAGCTCACTCTGTCATGTGGATTCGATCTTACGAATGCTGGTCTTCTGACCTTGCAGCACAGAGGCTTCTGCGGTTTAACCCACAGTGCCACCACATCCCTTAATAAAGTCCTTAAGTTAGAACAAATACTGTTTTCAAAAGATGCCTCAGATGTTTAACTCCAGTCGTATTTTTTTTTACATGTGCTATAAAATACAAATAACACTATAAGAAACTATTAAAAGAAGGTGACAATTTTGCTTCTTTTTGTCCCCAAGACAAGTTACATTTTGTAAAGTTAAATTTGTAAAGGAATGGTGATGCATGGTACTTCCAACCTTGAGCCAAAACCTACAGTACAAATAACACTATAAGAAACTATTAAAAGAAGGTGACAATTTTGCTTCTTTTTGTCCCCAAGACAAGTTACATTTTGTAAAGTTAAATTTGTAAAGGAATGGTGATGCATGGTACTTCCAACCTTGAGCCAAAACCTACAGAAAAATTCTGGTGGTTATTAATTAGGTGAAAAAGACAAAGAATAAGCAGAAGATCCAGCAGCTGGTCTCTATTTATACTGTTTTAATGCTAACACACACAGTAGGTGTTACGTATTTTAGCAATGAAAGTCAATAGGCCAAAGTAAAGAACAGTCAATATTGACAAGTTTAAAAAAATCTAAGTGACAACTAGCCTGTGAAAGTAAGTGACTTCAGAAACCGGGAACTCAGAAATAGATTTAAATTGACATGTGAGGCATCTAAGGAAGGGTTTAGATTTGGTGAAGAGATGGTATAATTCTTTGAAGAGACAGTGTAGAACGTTGAGATCTGGACAGAGGAATAAGCAGCAGGGGCTATCTATAGATACGTGCACTGAGCCATCTTAACTCCTCATTGTAACTGTTGCTGGCTCCTGTCACGCTGCCATAATAAAATATTGGTAATCATGAACATTTGAGAGGATGGTGAGACTTCTCAGAGCATGGGAAAATTAGTTTCTCAGACTACAAATCCTATAATCTTAGATGGTGACTGTGCTCACTGTAGGATTCTGGGCACTGAGGGCCTATTAGAAATCCTAAGCTCCTTATACATCCATTTATTTTCTTGGAGATAGGAAATGACAGGTAAATGTGCCAGATATGCCATGGCTGGAATCCTATTGGTATTTATGAAAGGTTTGCGTAAATAGCCAGGGTGCATCTCAGTTGTGCAATATTGCATATAACCAGGGATGTCACCAAGATGGATGGAAAGTGAAATGTGTGCGTGCCATCAACTGTGCTGACATGTCAGTGACTTCAGCACTTTGTCAATTAGAACACAACCAATTCTGCAAACCTTATATGAACACCAACAGGATTCTGGCCCTTATTTGTATAGTAAATATAGTTTAGGAATCTTCAGAAACTAAGTTTACCACTTTCCTCACCCTATAATATTCCAAGATTGTTCTCTCTACTCAGCATCCCCTTAGTTCACAAACCTGATTAGCTCAAAATATATTCACACACAGAAAATAAGTTTGATCTTTATACAAATCACAGCACAGTAATCTGGAAAATATGAAAGTCAATGAACTCTCCATCCATCTGCCTAACTCACAATAAATATTGAGGATCCAGATCCACCCTCTGTATTGCTGAGCTGCCTCAGACCATCTCCCTATGTGGAGGAGGAGTCTCTGAATTGCCACTGCTATTACTGCTCCTGCCAGCAGCATGATTTTATGACCAAATATAAAGTAGACATTTATGGGCTACTGAGAGGGAGGATTTATTGAGGAGCAGCTTTTAAAGTCACCAATTCTAAGGTTTCACCTCCTTCCTCTTCTTAGTGCTAAGCAGAACATCTATGTAATTTGCATCTATTGTAGTTCCTCCCACTGGTCTCTCGGGCCCTGTTAGCTTCTCTCTGCAGAAGGAGAAACCAGGCCTTGAAAGCAGGAGGAAAATCTGCCCTTTCTGCTCAGCTCCATCCTTGCTGATTTTTCAGCAGCATCGTCACATCCTCTCCTTGACCTGCTTGGCAAATCCAGGACAAGAGCTGCCAACTCAGCTGTACTGTCTCTCCTTCTACCTCAGGGTTCATGCCTTTCATTACAAAGGAACTCCACACACTGCAGGAAATGAACTCCTCTGTTGGGATATATTCTGGAGGACAAAGCTCTCACTACAGTGGGAGTAGAAAGAGTGGGTGGAACAGAGACTTGAGGTAAGAGTGGGAAAGTAACTGAAGTACCCCACTCTTGTTTGCAGTGGTTTGCACTTTGCCCACCAGCACTGGTACAAAGGGTGTGGGGTGTGTGTGTGTGTGTGTGTGTGTGTGTGTGTGTGTTGTAAACAGTGTTGTCAAGTCAGTTCTAGCTTCTAGCAACCCCTGTCAGGATTTCTAGATATAAAATATTCAGAAGTGGTTTACTATGACAATTATTATTATTAGTTTTATTTATATGCCACATTTCTCCCAACAAGGGACCCAAACGGGCTGGTTTATATGATTTTATTCCTTTTTAAAGCTAAATCTGCATTTATCTCTTTCTCTTCTTTTAAAAGTCTGTGAACTGCCTTGAGTGAGTGCTCTCTTTCAATATATATCCTGCCTTTACATTATATAAATGACAATTCCTTTGTCGTGGGATTGTGCAGTTTGCCCAAGGCTACACTGGGGAATTGAACTACCGACCGTTATGCTGCAACTTACTGAGCTGCAGATATCTGGTTACCAGCAACTAGCGCACAGGATGGTGTAAAGCAAAGAGGAAGACATTGGCTCACCTCTTTCACTCTCTGAAGCATAGGTTGCAGCCATTCACTGTTCACCTCACAATGGCTATCCAAGAAGGTGAGGATATCAGCCGTCGCCGTATCAGCACCTCGTACCCGAGAGCGAATTAGCCCTGAGAAAGATGGTGGAATGGGGTAGAGAGAAAAGAACATTGGGAAAGAGAAGAACATAGTTCTTTAGGGATGTGATAGAAGAATGGCAGTACATAACTCTGAGGTGAACACCTAGCAGCCATCTAGACAATTCCCAACAGTCCTCCTATCAGACCTTACCAGTGCTGGCTAGAGCTGTTGGGAGCTGTGGTTTAACAATATCTAGAGAACAATCTGTGTCACTCTAAGGCGCACAAGTCTCTGCACAGCACTCCAGAAAATTAGAGGCAACGTTGCTGGAGAGCTACAACATGCCCAGCCCTGCATGTTGGGTGTCTTTCCTAGATTCTTTTTATTATGTTCAGACTCATCTCTCATTTTGCTCTTACCATTTTCCTGTGCAAAGCCCCAAATCCTGCTTTTCCAACCTTTTCCCCTCTCAGATCACCAGCCAGCATAACATTCCATGCCCACAGAGCATCCTGAGCATTTATTTGGTTGTTCTGCATGTTGCTTTCTATGATTTCCATTTTGGTCCTAGGCATTTTACTCAGTAATGTATTACACTTGGCTTGATAGGGCCTTATTCTTCTCTTACTTCCCTCTAGAGCCAAACTCCTTATTTAAGGAGTGGTGCTGCCTAGCTGGAGAACTGTTGAGGTTTTAAGGAGCTGTAGAAGTCACATATCTTTTCTTCAGCATAGAAGAAAATCTGGAGATGTAAACATCTTTAGGAACCGGAGGGGGGTTGAGTTTTTTTAAGGCTGAATTTTATTTAAGAAGTGAATATGTTAGCATAGGATAAGCATAACTAGGAGGGGTGATGTAGAGCACATAACCTTTTTTTTCTCAGTACAAAACCAAATCTGCCAGTATTGAGCCCTTCTGAGCCAATGTCACACATAATTCTTCATTTAGTTAATGGTAAAATGGTAATGCACTGCTTCAGTGCACTGAGAGTCTTTGCAACAAACAATGGGGAGCCCATTAGATTTACGATGGCTCTGACATTTGGTCCCCTTGGCCCCAGAGATGTTGACTCTCTTCTCTGCTCCGCTATGCCCAAAGGACACAAATGTGTGGTGCTTTAGAGCAGCGGTCCCCAACCTTTTTCGGACTGTGGACCGGTTGGGGGTGTGCGGGCTCTGTGCACGGGGTAGGTGGGGGCACCCGTGCGCTCATGGGTGGGCATGTCATGCTTGTGGGTAGGCATATCGTGCTTTGCAGAGGGGCGTGTCATGCTCATGCGTATGCGCACAACCGCGACACGCCCACCCACGAGCGCAATACCCCCACCATGCATGTGTGCAGGGTGCCGGAGATCCATGTCTGTGGCCCAGTTCAAGGAAGCCCATGGATCGGCACAGGGGGTTGGGGACCCCTGATTTAGAGCACACTGTTGCAATCATCTGAATGGTGACTCTGAGCTCTGTTGCGCCTTTTCATCTGAACAATTTTTGTAGTTAATTGACACAGCCTGATGTTCAACATGGCCTGAAGGAGGACAAACATATTAAAACTAAATTTAGGCAAGGCATAATTGCTCTTATTTTATGGCCTTTTTACCAACGTATTGGAATTGCTGTCCTCTGAATGCATCACTTCTACTTTTAGAGATTCTGGTCACTGCTTGGTGATACTCCTGGATCTGGGTCTTCTCTTAGAAACAACGAGGTTTGGCTAAGTTACTCCTTTTTGGACTATGAATCAACAAATCTCCAATCTTTATGGCCAAGCTGGATGAGTGTGTGTGTTCTGGGATATGTAGTACAAAAGCGACTCTTCCAGACTCAGGAAGCAAGGCAAGTCCTCCACAAATGCTTAAAACGCTCATCCTGGGAGCCTGATGCATTCTGCTAAGTGGCTATATATCCCTCCTGCCCACAAGTTTTAATTCTCTCTGCCGTTAGGTTTTGCAGAAGTGGATGATGCCTTCAAGCCTGTCACACTCACCTTCTCGACGATTGTTGCGTAGACACTTGACCTTTGGTATCTTGGCAAGGAGTTGGCAGTCTTCAGCTGAAGAGAAATGAAAACGAATTGGCACACACCCCCTGTTGTTTGGCACTGACAGACAACTGCAATTAATTCTCCCCATGGGCCTGAATAGAGGGCACAGCTTTGCTTTTTACTTATTATATCAATCACTCTGTTGATCCCAAAATAAACAGCCTTAATCCCATTTGCCTGAAGTGTCACCCAAAGGACTCGGCTGGCCCATCGGCAACCTCCCGTGCCACAAATATTCAAGTCAGCATTTCTCAGACACTGCCGGGTAAGCTACACATTACACGGCTACTGTGTGCTAATGAAGCCCAAGGACCCTTTCCCCTTCACAAAACACCTGCAGAAAGTAACACTTTGGAACAGTATAGGTATGGAAGTGAAGGGAATGCTTTACACTAATTCTGCGACCACTGGCTGCCCCACACTGTCTTTGGTGGGGCAGAGACACAGCTGTGAATGGTGGGCAGAGCCAGAGGTGACAAGACAGCTCGGGCAAAAGTGAGCAAGCATTTTCTTTTCTCTCTCTCTCATATACACACACAGGCATTCACTGACACACAACTTAGCTAAGGAGCAGACCAATTCACAAATTAGAGATCTTCCAGCCTGCTTCTACCTTTTGAAGTCCAGCTGGAAGGTAATAGAGGCGAGGCCCTGATCCTTAGGCTTAAATAAAGGAGGAGGGAGGAGCAGGCTGAATGGGGGTTACCAGATGCATTTGCCCTAGC